ATCTCCGTTAGTATAGATATGGACCATCGCGCGCTTAGTAACTCACCCTGTATAATAAAAAAGCTCTCTGCTAGAAAGTTCCCGATATAGTTTTCATTCGACTTTAAAAACTATGTAATTTGAAGAGAACAGCTCATAGCAAATACAAGTCATCTCGCTCTGATAACTGATTTTGATTATCGTGAATTTTCTAGGTTGAGACAGCTATGCAAGACCTTGACACATGAATGCTATCAAAATTATATTCACGGGACCGAAGTGGCTATTAACTTCAACATCAAAAAATTCTGATCTTCTGGTAAATAATAAAGGGAAGAGCAATGCTTTTCCTACTTTTCCTACTTAAATATCGTGGCAGGTCTAGTTGTTCGGGTAGAGAGATTGCTGACATATTTGCAGATTATTTTTCTTCTGTCTATTCAAATAACCATCATGATATTCCTACACATGATTTGCCTTCATCTATAGTCCATAAACTGAATTATTTACTAATATATGACATATACACTAAATTATCCACGCTTGATTTAAATAAGTGCCCTGGTCCGATATGGGTTCCACCCATATGTCTAAAATATTGCAGTTTCAATCTCTCAAGGCCCCTTTACCACATTTTCCAGCTGTCATAACGTAGAGGTGCTTTTCCGGAGTTTTGGAGGGAAATTTTCCTCAAGCCCATCTTTAAATCCGGAGATAAATATGTGGTAACCAATCACCGACACATTAGTATCATCAGCACAATCCCTGAGGTATTTGAGAGCCTAGTATGTGAGTTTTTCACCCCCCTCGTAGAGCCTTATTTAATCAGGGAACATTTTGGCTGCAGACCGGCAAATCTCCGGATTTAAATCTTATACAAACTGACTATATGTTGGATGGCTTGGGAGTGGATACGATTTACACTGACTTCTCCAAGGCATTCGACAGAGTCTCCCATACCATGTTATTACATAAGCTTTAGTTGATGAGAATCGATGAACCCTTGATCTCATGGTTTCACAGTTACTTGTCCGGTCGGAAGCAGATTGTTAAAATTGATAATTTCCTTTCCAAAATTATTCACGTTACCTCCGCCGAACCACAGGGGTCCCATCTTGTGACACTCCTTTTTAATGTAGGTATTTATTAATATTATTCACAAATGCTTTGCCCTATGTCTTTACTTATTGTTTGCCCATGACCTTAAAATGAGCTGCATAATTAAATCTCCTCAAGACTGTGAGAAACTACAGTATGATCTTAACAACGTGCAAGACTGTTGCAATAGAAATTTCATGGATCTCAATCCTTCTAAATATAAAGCCTTTTTCGCGTGTTAAAACCCCTATCAAGTTCAATTTTAAAATTGTTCAACGCACCCTTGGGGAATTTTCCATTATCGAATACCTTGGTGTTTCACTGTAATAATGAAGTAAATGAAGCTTATCAAATACTGTTAAGCCCTGTTCAAACAAGGCTTAGAAGAACTTATAACCCCAATAGCAATAATATTTAAACCTAGTAAGTTACATTTCCACCAGATGGCGGGAAGTAAATTTGGTATTTATTCCACAGGCTTCCCATAGCACAGCCTCAATCATTCAGACCCATTAGCCTAACCTCATTTCTCTTCAAAACCATGGAGAAAATCATTGATCTATACTTAAGAAGCAAATTAGTTACCGGTTAATCTCTCCACAAAAATTAATATGCCCTTCAAGCAGGCAAATCAACGAAGACAGCCTTGCAAAGGCTTTGAGAACACTACAATCGCATGGATTGGAACCATGCTACAGGATAGGAGAATCAAAGCAAACACTGATTTGCGTGCGGAAAGTACCACTTTTCCACACTGCGTGCGTGAAAAAAAATTTACCACACGGCGTGCGCGGAAAACTTTTTCACGCACGCTGTACCCGAGAAAAGTTTTACACGCACTGATTTTTTTTTTTTTTTTTTCAATTTTGCACTCTATATCATGCTTTTCAAAAATTTTGGACCTTTTCGAAATTGCTCCACCATTTTTTCTCTTCAAGAAAGGTATATATTGGGTTTTTGTAATGACCAATTATCGACCTCTTTAATGAGTTGTAGAGGTACTTATCATAAATAATTAATTCTACTTATAATTGTTAATGTTCTGCTATTAAAATTATTGCGTTATTGAACTTCAATAAAAAATCAAATGTTTGACCATTTCTTTTATCAGTAGAGCCAAAAACGTGTTTTATAAAATATGCGCTCTTCCGTGCAGCGCTGTTTTGTTACAGCGCTTTTTTGTTACAGCGCTCTATTGTGCAGCGCTCTTTCGTGCAGCGCTCTTTCGTGCAGCGCTCTTTTGTGCAGCGCTCTTTTGTTACAGCGCTCTTTTGCTACTATAGTTGGGCCACCGAACAGAGATAGTAATAAAACTAAGCCTTCAACCTCTGAGGGGCCTGACAGGCAATAGACGAGAGGATTTATATCCAATTTATACCTTCTTATGATAAATAAAATTTATTAAATGCATTAATTCATATATTATGAGGCAATATGCATAAAGGGTTTCATTTAACATTCACATTCCAATTATTAAATTATTTTGAGTTAAAATAAATAAATGAAAGACAAACAACATCAGTTTCAAATGCGCTCCACTATGAAAATGTCTGCTTTTAAGAGGGAGTTGGGACGATTTATGGGGGCCAGTTACCAGGTAATCGCTTTATTACTATCTCTGTTCGGTGGCCCGACTATAGCGTTCTTTTGTTACAGCGCTCTTTTGTGCAGCGCGCTAATTCATTACTTCTATACTAAGCAACCATTGTGCATTTGTGGTCTTAGGACATGCTGATGACCTTGCAGTCATAGGCAAACATGACAGAATCGTTAGTGAACTTATGCACAATTTCCTCAACATCATCAAAAACTGGTGCTTGCAACAGTTCTCGAAAGTGAATTCTGGTAAGACATAATTGTACCATTCATAAGGAAAATGAAGCTCAACTTAATAGCTTCAACACTGAATGGAATACAAATAGGCTTTTCAAGTGAAGTCAAATATCAGGCGTTGTCCTAGATCAAAAACTCCTTGGAACACCTGGAAACACATTTAAAAAGAATAATCACGTGAAACATGTGGCCTAAATCCAAAAATTATCTATTGTCTATTTATGATGCTTATGAGACCCTGGTGCGGTAGCCAAAAATTAAACAGCAGACAGAGCAAAACTGGTTGGCAGTTATACATAAAAACGTATGCTTGTCTTGGAATAACAGGTGCCATGAACATCTGTCCAACCGCTGCCAACGAGAGAGGCCATGTTAGACATCATCCCCCTGCATATTGTAGTGAGGAGGAAGGTCGGCATGGGGGCCCTAAGGGAAACACGGTCCCTAAATCTAAAGGAAGGGGACCTTGTTGGACATATGAGCATCATTAAAGAATGCAAATGTACCATCGTCACCAAAAGTAACTGGGACAGCATCACATTAGCTCTTGTCCTATTATATGAATTTTATTGTCAAATATTTGTCAAACTATGAATTAAATGCATTGAAATGAATGACAGTAGAATTAGTCCAGGAGATTATTATGCATTATTTGTGTCCCAGATACTTTTGGTGACGATGGTACATCAAAAAAACCTGTTGACACCATGCCACCCAGATACGAATTTGATCACCTTTATAGTGTGACCGCAAAAGTGACAAAATTGTAGATAAATTTTCAAATGGTTCATCCATTTGGTACGCAGATGTATCGAAAACAGAAGAAGGGGTCGGAGTGGGCGTACATGGCCTGTAGGCTATCGGTAGCCTTAGGAAAACTCCCCACCATATTCCAAGGGGAAACGTGCGCTCTCTTGGTTACCACCTAGAAAAGATGGGTTGATGGGTAAAGCTGATTCAGACCTTTGCCGCTTCTGCAAAGAACCATTTGAATCTGTCGAACATGTACTTTGCAAACACGAAGCGTTATGTTACAGAGGCCTGATTCATCTGAAGAAGACATATATTACTGCTACAGATCTTACATTAGAACAACCAATCCCAGGAAACTTATAAGTATATAATCGCGAAGAGTTTTAACCTGGGAACCTACTAGACAAGGGGAAGCACAATACACCCATTTAGGTCGCAGTGTGGAAAGGTCTATTACCTAAACGCCCCCTTACATAATCTAGTGCTTTCATTAAAATATACTTTCACCCCTCTGGGGCAGGGGATGCAGGGGAATTTTAGTGTTTTTGAAGCATAAAGAAGTACTACTATCCCAGGCAACTCCTTAGCAATATTACAAATGAAAATTTTTGATTTTTTTTTCAGAAATCAGACATAGAGTAATGGTCACCGGCATAATCCAGACTATCGCACAGAATCCAAATAGAAAAGGACAGGCTTTATAGACCGTATAAAGAACCACAGATGGACTAAAAGCTTGATGGAGTGAAAACCCATTGAGGACAAGAGAAACAGAGGCAGGAGGCAGACCACTCACCAGATGGAGCAATGACTTGCGAACAGAACAAAGAGTGGTAGCTTTGGTGGTAGTAACTTGACGAGGCCTATCTCCATCAGGTGATGTTCTCGGCTGATGAATGATGATGATGATGATGATAACAATCAATAGTCAATTTAGCTAAGCAGGGTAACTTCTTTTTCACTAATTTTCTACTAATTCAACTTATGTACAAGCTATGACTGCAGGGCAGAGAACCCGATAGAATGGTCTAAAACATCTGAAATATCCCCTAAGTCTCCTGATTATTCACCAGTCTATGCTCGATCTAACCTTATTGTTACTATTCGTAACAATAATGCTCTCTACTACCAGAATATTGTTTGTGCAACTTTTGTAGAGATATGATATCAACAGATAAACGTGAGGATATTCGTTTTTCTGAAAATTATAAGCACTCAAGTGGATTTTTATTTATGCTCAATCCAAAAACTCCATATTTCAAAAAATCTAAAAAGTATCTGATGATTCTATTGCGTTAGATCAAAGGTCCTAAAATTATCATATTACGGCGTCTTATCGAAAAGATACTTAGACCTCGTCCCTAGATTAATTGACAATTATTTATCACTGGAACCGCGTGATACAAAAACCCATGTTCAGTACTATAATAGTAACGGACATAGTACCGCTACCACTCGATCATCGACCATCGTCCTATATACTGCAGAATAAATTTTCAAGTTCTCAATGCAAACATATTTCACTTACATTATAATCTAAATTTTTGGAGTTAATTATACAACCTTTCGATAGCATTAAACTTGAGATTGTCACTATTTTGCCTTACCTCATTGTGTATTGAATAGTGGATAGATTGCTATCAGTGGCAGTGGGTGCAAAATTGAATATTGAAGTGTTTACAAATAAACTAATATGGTATGTACCTATGCAATAACACAAATTGGCTAATTATTGTTTATTGAGTAAATCAGAAAAATATTTCCAAAATAAGTTAACCTATTGAAAATATATCTCTGGCGCATTTCATTGGATATTATTTAATTATTATAATAAGAACAAGACAAGTGGTCAAAAATTGAGATTCTCATAAAAACTATAAGCTCAAGTTTAAGCAGGGTGAGTTATTATTTGATGGTAATTCTTACTATTTTGAAGCAAAAATGATAGGTGAGATTTTTCGAATTTTGTTTAGCAGCAATGTGTCGAGTTAAAAAAACATTCGTTGAACATTTCCGTGTCACTCGGTATTTACATGTATCTACATATTTTGACTTTTTTTTATTCAATTTTGTCCAAATTTGCTTATTTATGAAAAAAGTAGGGACCCAAATCTCTGGGACCAGAACGTACTTAATTTATTGAATTATAGATAATTTGCATTCATAGAAAAAAAATCTATTTTTAAATGATACAAATTGTTAACATTGCATCACTGAATGACTATAAAAGACGTCACTTACATTCATTGTTGAAAACAATAATTATCATTTATTACCTTATTATCGTTATTTATATCTTCTCAAATGTGCACTTTCGCAGGAATAGGCTGATAGGTACTCAATATTAATCTGTCAATAATTTATCAGGTACGCATTACAGATCGTTTGTTTTATGGAAAAACACAGGAATGTAGGTAGCTTTTTACGTTTCATTATCATTTAGGTACTTGCAATTGTTATTATTTCAGCCTCTTTGACCAGTCATTTTAATTATATTTGATTAAGAACTCCTTTATTTATAATGGCCTCAAGATTTTCAATCATATAAGCTTAGAACTTAGAAATGCTGGCGATATTCGAATATTCTCAATCCAAACACGCCATATATTAAAATATCTAATAAGTAGCTGACAATCCTGATGAGTGATGAGTAAGATCATGCATGGGTCCAATAGTACGGTGTCTTATCAAAAAATACTTAAACTCCGTCCCTAAAATATCTGACATTTATTTATCACTGGAAACGCGTTATACAAAAACCCACAGTACCACAAGCCCTGGTACCACTACCACACGATCATCGACCATCGACCTCTACTGCAGTGCAGACTGAAATTTAAAGTTCTCAGTGCAAAAGTATTTACTCACATTATAAACAAAGTTTTTGGAGTTAATTATACAAATCTTTCGCTAGCATTAAACTTGAGATTGTCACTATTTTTAGCAATTTATTTATTGAAAAGTGGATAGATCAGTTGGAGTGGGTGCAAAAATCAATATTGAGTTTTTACTAATAAACTGAAATGGTATGTACCTATATGCAATAAGGCAAATTGGATAATTTTTTGTTTGTTGAATGAATCAAAAAGTGATTATAACCATAAGATAACCTATTAACAGTAGGTACAGGTTTTCCTTAGATAAACTGACACATTTTGCAGGTAAGTTTCTCAAAAACGAGAAAAGATAACGAGAATGCGGTTGGTTCTGGGAGAATAAGGATTTTTTTGAAGTTTTTTTTATAGTATTGCCAAATCCTAATCTTCGTTGAAATTTGGTGTTACAGACATGCGATTTTTGAAATAAAATTACTGCTTTATTTTCAATGAAACACCCTGTATATTTTGTCATCATCAGAAAGCCTGATTTTTCTACTTTACAAAAATGTATAACTTTCTTTAATTATCTTGAAATCACATCGTAAAAATTGCACTTTGTTGAAGAGGGTACCACAAACTGGCAAAAAAATAAATGAAAAATACTTCAAACTTTCAAGATTTATTGAGTAGGGTCTTTTTATCTAACAAAACAAACTACGAGTGGATCTCAAACTCAGAATTAAAATTATGATTTTTTTTCTTACTTAAGCCCGTATGACATCTGTGTATTTTTCTGTGAATTTATTCATGTAGTTCAGGGTGACAACCCAGAAACTTCAAACACAACATAAATCAGCATTATGAAAAACAAAATAATGTTGGCACCCTGAACTACATGAAGAAATACACGGATAAATACACAGATGTAATACGGGCATTAGATGCAAAAAAATCTTGTAAAATTTCCTATTAAATCACCTTTAGACGCTTCTTAAAAATACTTCAGGCAAACAGAGGGACTGCAAATTTCCAGGATTAATTGAGTATAGAGTGTTTTTATCGAACGAAACAAACCACAAATGGATCTGAGGCTCAGCACTAGAATTATGATTTTTTTCTCACTTAAATGCATTTCTTGTAAAATTTCTATTAAATCACCTTTAGAAGCTTCTGAAAAATACTTCAAGCAATCAGAGGGACTACAAACTCTCAGGATTTATTGAGAAGGGTCTTTCTATCGAAAGAAACAAACCGCGAATGGATCTCGGGCTCAGAACTCGAATTATGAATTTTTTCTCACTTAGATGTGAAAAAATCTCATAAAATTTCTATTAAATCACCTTTAGACGCTTCTGAAATATACTTCAGGCAATCAGAGGGACTACAAACTCTCAGGATTTATTGAGTAGGGTCTTTTCATCAAAAGAAACAAATGGCAAATGGATCTGAGGCTCAGAACTGGAATTATGAATTTTTCCATACTTAGATCCAAAAAAAAAAATCGACAATTAATTTGTGTTTAATACTTTTATTAACTTATTAAAACCTTGAAGTGCAATTTGGGCGATGCAATTCCAGGATAATTAGAAAAAATATATATATTTTTGTAAAGTAGAAAAATCAGGCTTTCTGACGATAAAAAAATATACAAGGTGTTTCTTAAAAAATAAGGCAGTATTTTAAAATCAAAAAATCGCATGTCTGTAAAACCAAATTTCATCAAATTTTAGGATTCGGCAGTACTGTAGAGAAAACTTTAAAAAATCCTCATTCTCCCAGAAGAAACTGCATCTTGTTATCCTTTCTCGTTTTAGAAATATTTTACCTGTGAAATGTGTCAGTTTATCAAAGGACACCCTGTACTTCTCCAGCGCACTTCATTGGATTTTATTTCATTCTTATAGGGCCTTTACTTGATGCTTGAAGATGTGATCACAAATTGAGATTCTCATAGGTACCTTTGAGATTTTATGGATAACTTCACACTAATGATACTTTTAGCCATTTTTAAGAGATGATGTGGATTGAGATTTCATAAATTTTGTTTAGGAGCATTGTGTAGAGCGAAATAACAGTAATTGAACATTTCCGTGTCACTCAGTATTCACACGTGTCTACATATTTTGACTTTTTTTTATTTTTAATGTTTTCCAAATTTGCTTATTCATCAAAAAAGTAGGTACCCATTTGACTACGACTAGGAAATACTTAAGGATTTATTAAATTATAGATAATTTGCATGCATAGGAAACACTGGAGAATTTCTATAATTTAAAGGATATACATTGTTAACATTGCATTACTGGACTACCTAATGACTATGAAAGGCGTCACTTATGCTCATTGTTGAATGAAAAAAACAAGCAATCATTATATTTATACCTTCTTACATGTGAACTTAGATATTTATCACAGATCGTTTGCTTTATAGAACATTTAATTGAAATTATTATTGTTTCAGCTTTTTTGGCCGGTCTTGTTAATATTACTCGTAACATATTTGCTGAATAACCGAAGATATAGATGGATTTATATTCTCTACAAAACACTCCCAAGGGATCTCACGTAAGAATAACAGAATATCGAGTGGCTCAAGTTTCCTAATAATTTTTATTTTAGTGCTGGATATAGATTCCTCAAATTGAACTTGCGACTTTCAAAATGGAAAAGAAATCGTGAAACAATCCCAAAAGTATTCAGTCAGTTGGCAGAAAAGCATCCGGATAAGGTTGCATTCTATTTTGAAGAAGAAACGTGGACTTTTGAAAAGGTGAGTTATCCAAAATTAATTTGATAATATATTAGATCAATCCGCACCAAATGCAAATGCCTGCCATCAGTGGCGCAGCCAGAAATGTTGTCTGGGGGGGCCATGCAGAAAAAATTATAGGAAAAAACACAGACACACTTTCCTTTAAACTTTTTCTGATATGAGCAGTTTACAGCTTTCGTCTACTTCGTTATTTCTCTGAAGCCTTGGGGGGGGGGGCAGGCCCCCTGGCCCCCTTTTGCTGCGCCACTGCGTGCCATCCTATTTTCAGTCTGTGAGAATTTCATTATAGGTCGTAGAAACCGTGTAAGTATTTAGTTCAAAAGTTCCTTGTGTACCTAATGAGTTTTTTTCTACAACTGTCAAAAAATGATGATGTTCGCACACTCATGACAGTTTGCGAAGTGACACTTTTTTTCCCAGGTATTGATTTTTTAACGTTCCCATGACGCCATGACGCCGTGACGACTATTTAATTAATCAGATCTCGATCACCAAAGTAGCATTTCGCGCCCTTGATACAAAAATAACTATTTTATCGAGTTCTCCCTTGAGAGAGCTTACTCATTTCATATAGGGAAAATTTAAATTTTCGCTGTTAATCCTGTTGAGTTAATTTATTTTTTCTACAACTGTCAAAAAATTATGATGTTTGCACACTGATGAAAATTTGCGAAGTGACACTTTTTTTTTTCCAGGTAGGTAGATTTTTTTTAACGTTCCCATGACACCGTGCGCGAAATGATTCTCCAGTGTGCGAAATGCCTAGTTCGCACACTCAGTTAACAAATACCTGACACCTGACAGGAAACCAAAAATAATTAATATTCACCTGCCTTTGATTGTAAATTCAATTTTAGCTTTGAATGATCGATACTTAAATGGAGTTGTAGAAAAAATATTGTTTGCAACTCGTGCGCGAAATACTTTGATGATCTCGACTATTCTTTCAACTTGGCTGCGCCTCGTTAAAAAAATCAGTTCTATAATAATAATAATAATAATATAGTTTATTTAAATACCAAAGCAAATACAAAAATTAAATAAATTAATAACAATGATGCTGAATATTGCACTAAACAAACATGTTTAGCCACGTAAGATTCCTTGTCTGTGGCTACCTATTTATCCATGCAATAGATAACATCTCAAAAAGAAGATTTCATCAATAACAATCATTAAGAATTCCGTTAATAGCAACTAAAATAGAAGGAAAACAACTAACAAAATATTCCTTACATTATACACTAAAGATTACATATTTATCCATCATGTTCCATTCTAAAATGAAAAATAATTGAGTAAAATTGGTTTAACTGATAGTGGGCTTATCAAGAGAGACGGTGCAATCGGGCATAAGTGTTTGTTTTTGTTTTATTTCCAAGGGCAAGTGATTATACACTCTAGGTGCAATGAAAATATGACACCTTTGACCAATAGTTTTTCTCATTCGAGGAACCCTTAACTGATTTTGTTGTCTTGTGTGATGTTTCACAATATTTTTGTCTTCTGTTTTATATATCAGTATAGCTAATTGCTTACAGAATAGCTGTCGAATATCTAGGATCTTGTTTTCTTTGTATAAAAGATCTGAGGGATATATTCTAGGTTTATTGAATATAGTTTTGAGTAACCATTTTTGCGAAACTTCAAGTTTATGTAGATGGTCTTTCAAAACTCCTCCCCACGCCACAATGCCATAGGCAAGATGCGGAATTACTAGAGTTTTGTACAGCATAGTAAGTTTATCAATTGTAAATATATTTTTATAAAATTTAAACTTGTAGAGTAGGTTTAATATTTTTTTATTAATAAAATGTATATGGGTTTCCCATTTAAGAGTGTTATCGAACAAGATTCCAAGGTATTTTATTTGTTTAGCAGATTTTATCTTAAATTTGTTGGTTATCAAAAGTTCCTGATAAGTTGGTAGAAATTTTTCGTAGGAGGTAAATGGCATGAAATATGTCTTCTTCCAGTTGACTGTCAATTTTTTTGTTGAAAAGAAGTCAGCATATTTTCTAAAATCTTTCTCTACTTTAAGTTTTAATTCATCCCAATTATCACCCGTAAAGAAGCACACCTGATCGTCCGCAAAAATGGCCACAGCCGCAACCGAGTCTATCTGAAACATATCGTTCACATAAATAGTGAACAGAAGAGGACCCAAGACGGTTCCCTGCGGAACACCATATGTAACTTCCTGGAAGTCACTGACTACCGAGTTCATCTCAACGTACTGCCTCCTATCCAAGGAATAGCTCCTCATTATGTCAAGTTCTTTGTTTTTGAACCCAAGATTTTCCAAACAGGAGAACATTTCTCTATGACAAACGGTATCGAAGGCCTTGGCAAGATCGACGAAGACGCACACAGCTGGTTTTTTATTATCAATCGCTTCATATATTTTGGCACTTATGTAAGCTAATGCATCTTGCGTCGATCTGCCCTCCCGGAAACCGAATTGTCTATCACTTATCACTATTTATTCCTTTCAAGATAGGAAACGATGCGTTTTTTGAGAATTTTTTCTAAAATTTTTGACAAGCTCGAGAGCACTGAGATAGGCCTGTAATTACTGACATTTTCCTTGTCTCCAGATTTAAATATGGGTCTAATTTTAGCTAATTTCAAAGATTTGGGAAAGATGCCATTTTTCATTGATAAGTTAAAAATATAGGTAAGTAAGCTCTGCCTGGATTTGATCTAATCCTGGGGCTTTATTGTTTTTTAAATCTTTTATTATTTTTATGTCATACCAATACATTATTGTGTTTTTATACCTTAGATACCATGTACATAATTCATTACTTTATGCCCGTGCGGGCATAAAGTACACATTATGGCCCGCGCGGGCATAAAGACGCAAAAAACAGTTTTCAATTAACTTATTCTTTATCAACAAAATATAAACTTACGCTTATAAACATATTATTTTTGTAAAAAAATGATGATTCTGCACACTGATGGCAATTTGCGAAGTGACACTTTTTTCCCAGGTATTTATTATTCACAACCAACTGGTATGACATAAAAGTTTGTATGCACCACGGGTACTAATAGATATATATACCCTCGGGCGACTTACGAACCCTCGGGCCAGAGGCCCTAGGCTTTGTAAGACGGTCGCCCTCAGGGCATAATCATCTACTTAGTACCCTTGATACAAAAATAACTATTATGACTTCATCAGCATCAGTAAGTTCAAATCTTATTTCATCTTGCAGAATTGTTTTGGGAAATTGTTTTGCAGGATGCACTATCTTTGAGGCCAAATTTTCTCCTATCTTAGAAAAATAGTTATTAAAATAATTTACTATTTGCTGTTTGTCTGTGCTAGGACCGTTTTCCGTATTAATCTGTTTGATCTCGCTATTCTTTGTTTTATTTTCAAGTTTGTTTAATGTTAACCATAGGTTCTTAGGACAGTCTTTTTTTTTTTAATTTGATTTTTAAAGTAATTAATTTTTGTGTTTTTTATCAATTCAACATATTTCTATAGTTTTTATAGTTTTCAAAAGCTACCATATTATTTATGTCGCTTTTATATTTTTTGTACAACATATGTCTTTTATTTATTGAGGTTAAAAGTCCGTTAGTTACCCAAGGAGTGCGTTTATACTGGGAGTGATTTATTTTAATGACTGTTTTGCTTTGGTTAATATTATTGTTAAGGATATTATAAAAGATATGCAAACTTTGATCAGCACAGTTGTTGATTTAAATCTGTTGACAGAGAGAATATTTAAGTATTCGTTTATATGGTCATCATTTTCGTCTAGAATGAAAAAATTTAAATCTCCCACTAAGATATCTAGGTCCGAGTGACCGCTTTTTTCTAATAGAAAATCGAAAAGGTTATTATTAAATTCCTCTTTGCTTGAAGATGGTGATCTATAGATTAAAAATATCTGGATTGCTTTGTTATCCTGAACTATTCTTGTTTGTATAATTCTAATGTTACCCATATTTACAATGGAACTCTCATGATTCAATGCCTGCTTTAAATAAATGACCACACCATCACATTGATTTATTTGGCCATCATTTTAAAAAGTATCGTATCCAGGAATACTTAATATTTCAAGTCCCAGAATTTGACGGGTCTCCGTTAAAACAACACATTCAAACATGCATTTATTTATACTAGCCAATAAAACTTGCAGTTCAGGTAGATTTTTATGTAGGCCTCCAATATTACTGTGAAATAATGAGAAGTTGTTCAAAAAGTTTGTATCCAGTAAGTTGTTACATTCCGATATGTCTTTGACACATTTTGTTTCAAATGAATCAATTCTAAATTCGTGAATGTAAGCATCCATTTTCAAAGATTAACAATATTTACCAACAAAGTAAATTTAATAAACAGTCTATAGGAGTTAAAAATCAAAATCAGATATATAAAATACGTAAAAAGGATATAAAGTTATTCTTTCTTAAAAAGTTACCTAATTTAAAATAATAAAATAAACACGGACCAAAATCAACAAAAGTTCATGAACAAAAGACCAAGCAAACACGCATATTCTAAAAAGACAAAAAAAAAAAAATAAATAGTTAAAAGTTTCGGTTTAATCACAGTTCGAATCACAGTTTATTTCTTTGGTTTTGGTTGAGTAGGTTTGGCTGGGGACTTTGAAGTTACCACTTTCGCAGGCTTTTTTTCCACCCTCTTCGTTTCTTCCTTCTTTATTTCTTCCTTCCTAGTCCTCTTTATCTTTATCTTTGTTTGTTTGATTTCCTTGTAACTGGTCTTGTAATCTCAGTCTTTTTTATATTTTGTAATGTTGGATGTTCCAGCACAGGTGTATAATTAAACACTTCTTCTTCGTCTTCTTCACCGCTTGAATTGTATGTATTTTTATTTGCTCTTAAGGGCATTGGAGTTGCAGGAGCACTGCTTGACTTGTTTGTTATGTTTTCCTGCTCATTCACCTCCGCGGCTGGTTCTTGTTCTTCTAGTGCCTCCTCACTGTACCTTTCACCATTTACGTATAGGT